TCCGACTCGGAGAACCTGAAAAGGGAAAAGTCCTACAGAGGGGTGAGGAGGCGGCCATGGGGTAAGTTTGCTGCGGAAATTAGAGACTCCACCAGGCACGGCATAAGGGTGTGGCTAGGCACATTTGACAGTGCCGAAGCTGCAGCCTTGGCCTATGATCAGGCCGCCTTTTCGATGCGTGGCTCCGCGGCGATTCTCAACTTTCCGGTGGAGAGAGTCCGAGATTCGCTTAAAGAAATCAACTATGTCGCTTCGGATTTGAACGGGAGCTCGCCGGTTGTGGAGCTCAAAAGAAAGCACTCCATGAGAAGGAAAATCGGGAACAAGAAGAGCAAAGTGGAGAGAGACGTGAGGATAGAAAATGTGGTGGTGTTTGAAGATTTAGGCGCAGATTACTTGGAAGAATTGTTAAATTCATCTGAGAGCACAAGTGCCACTGCCACACCTAATCGTTGATTCAAAAACATTAATTCAACTTTCTTGTATTCTTTTTTTGTTTTGTTTTTGTTTTTGTAATAGTATGAACCATAATCACTTTGAAATCTTTGATCTGTCTCATTTCCAAACTTTTCTTTTTGCTGTAAAGTTGCGAGAAAAAGATAAGGAGTTACGTATTTATGCGTCCTGGTGTCTCATTTGTGGCGCTCAATTAATTGATCCTCAAGGTGATTAGATTTAATATTCTACTAGTCAACTAATATAGCTGGTCACTCATATCATACACAAAATGACACTGCCACATGCACGCGTGCTGTACGAACTCCAATTTAAATCACACTTAATAGTAGATCCTCACATCTTTTTGCATTTGGCTGGTTTTTCATGATCGGGAGATTCTTATGATTATCGTCATGTATTGCGTTAGACTCTTATACATAACACATGATATTTGAATTATGTATACATTCTGTGTGCGCGTTTAATGCATCAGTTAGACTTTCACATATCGTGCGTGAAACTTGAATATATGCCGCTTACATAAACAAGAAGTTTTCTTTCTTCAACGAGGCTACAAAATTAATATTTTCCTCTATAGAATATCATATACATTGGTTGATGAGCAGGAGTGTGAATATTGTTATTATTATCCTCCAATGCCAAAGGGGCCAAGCTATCAAAATATCAAGGATATATACATATGATATGGCCCACGAGCCATGACCAAAGAGCTGCAACTTGCTTGGTTTTTAATGGCAGTTTTGTCTTTAAGCACTAAGCACTTGTAAGTATTGACACCTGTATAAACCTAATCAAGCAATTAGCTGGAGCATTATGCAAATCATATAAACTAATTAAAGCTTAATTATATCTCCAAGTAAGTAGTTGTGTGGAGAAGGAGAAAAAGAGTGAGGTAAGCAAGGACCCAAACTTGAACCACTTTGAGCACTGTTTTGGTCCAATTTCAAAGCAAAGAAGCTTCTGCGAGCAATTCAGTCTTAGTAATTTGAGTGGACAATATCTGCTGCTTGCGACTTGTCTAATTCATTCATCCTCGCATATAATAATAATACACAGATTTAATTCATTTGAATGTATATTATCTTCACGTGGGATCTACTTTGGATCTATCATAAAATTGTGACCCTCCTTCCTCCGCTTCTTTTTAAAATATTTTTCTTTGGACCAGATGATTTGCTTTCGACATCACGTATAAAGTTTATTTTTACCATTATATCAATATTTAAAAGAGATCACAAATTCGAATTCTCTTTTCTTTTCGATATCAAAACGAATACCGCTATCATATTGTTAGCCACATACTATAGTAATTGGTGCAATATAATATGTAACACCATAATTACATGATCATGCAACGGCTTAAGCGGTTTAGTATTCTGTCTATGCCCACGGAAAGTACTTAATATTTAAACACAACTAGCTAATGATAATCCATGGGCTGGTAGTACATGGATATTAATCTTTAATTTTTATTTTACATTATCCATTCACAAAAGACGCTAGTAGCAGTATTGTAATTCGCATGAATGTTGATAACCATAAATTTTGTCACGTGATTCTCAATTGCAACCAGCAAAATTGAGGGTCAAAGTCCTGGCGGTCAAAATCCAACCAAGTCATTCAAGCCGCTTCCACGTCCTCTAGGAAACCTAATTAAGCATAATATTCAATGGAAAATCATGATTAAAATTGATTAAGTGAGGTGTTTTAGTACGTATGATATGGTTAGCTCAACTTGGCCACCTTTCAAGAACAGAGGTAATGAGAATATTAGAAATTCGATCAGATTCTCATTTAAGTGGACTTTTTTCAAGAAGGACTTGAATTATTTTTTTTTGTTATCATGATCATTGAAATTTTACTGGTTCCTGCAAGTATTGCACTGATCATGCAAAAGATACTGGGATGAGATCGAAGGGTTTCCATCCTTAGGTCTAATCTAACGGGGTTAGGATTTGTGAAATTATGCTTTCTTGACTTCAAGAGAAAAGATAGATTCATCCAACACACTTCATTTCAGACATCCATCTAATCTGATGACAAAAAGATAGATTCTTATTTAAAGACATCAATGAGAATAACTCATGATTAAAAGGTCGCGTACCACTAACATACATAAATATAATGTTGGAATTTTCTGCTCAAATACTCAGCATATTAATTAAAGTATTAATGCAATGATGCAAATGGATACATATACATTTTTTGAGAAGGGGAATTCATTCATAAAATTAGAGACGTAAAAAGAGCGACGTGATATAGTGACCTTGTTAAAACCTTCATAGGGCAATCTCATGGGACAAACCATAGGGGAGGAAAAAGTACCATACATGTCATGTACTAATAAGAGAGTCCAATTCAGGTCGCTTTGGACCATTACAATAAAAGAACAAGTCAAAAACAAAAACTAATACAAAGACCTCTGACGAGAACCGCAACTAGAGACTAACACAATAGACCCACATGAGAGGACCACATAACATCCCAATTGTCAAAAGAAGCCTTCTATGAGCAAAATCGTAGTCCTTTGACACCCATACAAACTGTAAGACATACCATAGTAGAAACTAGGAGAGAACATGGAGGAGGAACACAAAAACAATAGTAAAAGGACTCCACTTCAACTCAGAACTTGACGAAGAAAACCTCCTATGACCAAGCATAGTTCTTTAGTCACGCAGAGTAAAGAAGAGCACAACATCCCAACAACACAATCCAACATCACTACTATTGCCTCCGCCGAAACAAAGACAACACCAATCACCTAGAACACTGCAAAAACAACCAAACAAAATAAATAGACAAACAGACCTAGATACAAACAGATCTAGACTATCTGGGGAGAGGAAGGGGAGGAGAAGAGGGGATAAGAGCAAGGGAAAATATAGGAGAAAAAGAAGGGGAGATGAGGAGAGGAAGGGGAAGATGGGCGGAGGGGAGGAGGGGTAGTGGCCACCTCCTCCCCTTAGCTTCCTTGCAGTTGGTTGTCAGCAAAGAGAAAGGGGACTAGAGTTCAGCTAGGGTTTACTCGTCAAAGGAGGATATCTATGCAAATGGATAATTTATTTATACGCTTTGTGGCTAAACAGAGTTTGAAACTATCTCCAGGTATTGTTTTATACAATAAGAGGAGCTATTGGTGACTTGGTCCATGCATGCTTTGTTTTTGTAGAATGATAACTACTTTTCTTATAACTTTCTTCAAAGATTTATTTAAATGACACTCTTAAATAGTAATTAGACACATTCTCTATGGGGTTAACAAAAACTGTTGATGTCAAAATTGGATCAACAATAGGTAAACAATAAAACACACAATCACAAAGAACACGAGTGTTTACTTGGTTCATCCAAATCAATATGATCTATGGGGTTAACAAAAACTGTTGATGTCAAAATTGGATCAACAATAGGTAAACAATAAAACACACAATCACAAAGAACACGAGTGTTTACTTGGTTCATCCAAATCAATATGAGTTCCAAGTTATTACTTCCGCAATTGCTTAGTTTGTACTTGACTATAATAATAGTATTACAATTACAAGAGGTTTGGGGTGGATGCTAGCAATTCTAACATGGTATCAAGTGATGCAGAATGCAAGCACGAGTTTACGGATCAATAAACATTTAAACCTGAAAAGTAAAACTGAAATTCATCAGTGACTAGAATCCATCAGACAATAGAGAATTTGATTAATAATATGATAAAACTGATTAATACAACGCCATGAGTTGGCTTAAATAGAAAACAAAGAAATCCTAAAAGCATATAATATTCCTAAAACTTAACTAATAATAATTTAAATCTTAATTAAAATCATATAAAGAAAATAATATCCTAATTGATAACTTATTTTAGAAATATAAATATAATATAGACCTTCTTAAGAAATCAAGCAACCCGAAAATCCCAACGATGCGCCTTCCTTTTCCTAGCGCCATAATTGATGCTCAAGCATGATTTTCCATATTTGAAGCCCAATTTTCTGATTTTGAAATATCCCCCTTTTTTCAAATTTCCTTCGTAGGAACAAACACATGATTTGTCCTACATAAGACCCCTTCAATTGTAAACTTGGCCTCGAGTTCTCCTTGAATTGAACTTGGGTAGACATAGAATTTGATGTGTGAATAAACTCTTCAATTCTTGGAGTCCAAACTTGCTCATACTTGGATGGAATAATCATACAATTAATTCCATAAACAAGATTAGAATATGCCAGTTGATAATCAAACTCCTTGAATAAATGTGTTTCCTCCACAAATTCGGATTTATTCATACCTTCAATTTTTCCCTCCGTCTTGTGGGTTACTGGATCATCAATTAATTCAACCTCCATTACAATTTCTTCTTCTTTGACCTATTCCTCCATCTTTTCTTCGCTCACCATAATTTTGAGTTGATCAATCTTGTAACAATTCCTTGACAAATATATATATCATATTAAAAAAAGAAAGAATTTTTCCACAAGATGTATCTTCATCCTATTCTAAGAAGTGATAGGATTTTTATGTTGTTGCTTCATAGATTTTAGCATCTAATCCCACCAAGAAGCGACATCGCCTCTTAAACGGGACACAACAATTTTCACCATCTTCTCTTCTGAAATTGCTATTGTATCAAATATTTCCTCTACACCTGCAACCCATTCGAGAAATCCTTCAATGCAATCACTTCCCATAAAGCATGGAACATCTGCAACATAGGATTGATGAGGTTGGCTTCGGGCAAATCCACCAGCACGTTCCCCTTCAATATTTGATATTTCCTCACGATCGTCGTCAATGAGGTTTGTGTACCTCCCATCGCCGCTCATCATTGAGAAGACAAATCTTTGCTTTGAATGATAACTTGGCTTTGATACCATTTGATATGCATCATGGAGGCATGGGTTTACGAATCGACAAACGTCTAAACCTTAAAAGATAAACTAAAATCCATCAGCAACTGGAATCTACTAGAAAATAAAGAAAATCTCAAAATTTGATTAATAATATGATAAAATTGAATAATACAACGCCATGAGTTGGCTTAAATAGAAAACAAAGAACCCTAAAACTGTAGGAAACCCTAGGTTCCAGAATATTCCTAAAACTTAACTAATAAGAAAATAATTAAAATTTTAATTAAAATCATATGAGGAAAATAATATCCTGATTGATAACTTATTCTAGAAATATAAATATAATATAGATCTTCTCAAGAAATCAAGCAACCTGAAAATCCTAACGATAAGCATTTTTTCTTTTCCGAGGGCCATAATTGATGCTCAAGCATGATTTTCCATATTTGAAGCGCAATTTTTTTATTTTAAAATTTTCCCCTTTTTAAAATTTTATTCGTAAAAACAAACCCATGATTTGTCCTACATCATTAAACCATGTTATTCACGTGGTGAGCCCAATAGCCGCTACCATATCACAAAATGTTGTTCTAGTGTTTGGTTTAAGGCACGCCACGTGTAGGCATGTTGTTAGTGTAAATCCCACATTAGGGAAGCAAAGTTTGGTTAAAAATTTAAATGATCTTGGTTATCTCCATCAAATGCCAATTGTTTTTTAGTTGAATACTCACACTAACAATCTAACCATCTCAAATATGTAAATTTTCGATATCCTTTTATCAATGATAAAGTTGGACATTAAGTGCTAGTTTGGCATTGCTTATTTGGGGTGATAAGTGATTTTTTAAAAATTTTGAGAAGCCCAACCCGTTTGGTAAGCTGTGAGAAAATCACTTATTGTTAAAAATTGCTGTGAGAGAAAGCTATAAGGGAAAGCAGCTAATGAGGTGCTTTCATTTTCTGATTATGCAGGAATCAGTTTCGAAGAGGCGTTGGGTTTAATGATTATGCGGCAATCATTTTTTGATTATGCGTAAAATCAATACCAACAACACTTTTAACAAAAAAGTTACCAAACGCCAAACTGCTTTCTCTCACAGCTGATTTCTCTCACAGCAAATCTGATAGCGATTATTTTCACAGCACAGCAATGCCAAACTAGCCCTAAGTGCCCGTTTGGCATTGCTTATTTGGGGTGATAAGTGATTTTTTTAAAATTTCGAGAAGCCCAACCCATTTGGTAAACTGTGAGAAAATCACTTATTGTTAAAAATTGCTGTGAGATAAAGCTATAAGAGAAAACAGCTAATGATGTGCTTTTATTTTCTGATTATCCAGGAATCAGTTTCAAAGAGGCGCTGAGTTTAATGATTATGCGGCAATTATTTTCTGATTATGCGTAAAATCAATACCAACAACACTTTTAACAAAAATTTTACCAAACGCCAAACAGCTTTCTCTCACAGTTGATTTCTCTCACAACAAATCTGACAGCGATTACTTTCACAGCACAACAATGCCAAACTGGTTTATTCTAAATTTCCTGATTTGTTACATGTTTTCTAGCCAATACTTTGAATGTGGTGAAAACATTATTGTAAACTTTAGGCTTGATGGGTTTAACACAATATACGTTCTCGATAAGGGTACTTGCACATCATAAAACTAACCAATATATTACTTAGTTGGGATTTGATATTACGTAAGCATGGATGCGAGAGAATTTTGAACATGCTCAATCAGTTATAAGATATGGAACAACGACTTGTCCATACATATTGACATGAGTAGTAATTTCTCACTAATATTGTACGATGATATACTATAAGTAATTGTTCAAACAAGTTGCAGCAAAATGAGTTGCCGACAACTCTTATTTATAGCAACTAGCTCATACTAAACAAGTTTATACGAATAGTTTATGATGGTTGTATGATGGTGGCGGACTTCTTGGAGGGGATCGTGGAGAAATTCTTCGATGGGGTGGTGGCGAACTTCTTGGAAGGGGGAGGTGGCGAACTTCTTGGAGGGGGAGGTGGTGGACTACTTGGAGGTGGTGGTGGCGGACTTCTTGGAGGGGGAGGTGGCGGACTTCTTGGAGGGGTTGAAGGGGGAGGTGGCGGACTTCTTGGAGGTGGTGGTGGAGGACTTCTTGGAGGGGGAGGTGGCGGACTTCTTGGAGGTGGTGGTGGAGGACTTCTTGGAGGGGGAGGTGGAGGACTTCTTGGAGGGGGAGGTGGCGGACTTCTTGGAGGGGGAGGTGGCGGACTTCTTGGAGGGGGTGGTGGCGGACTTCTTGGAGGGGGAGGTGGAGGACTTCTTGAAGGGGGTGGTGGCGGACTTCTTGGAGGGGGTGGTGGCGGACTTCTTGGAGGGGGAGGTGGAGGACTTCTTGGAGGGGGTGGTGGCGGACTTCTTGGAGGGGGAGGTGGAGGACTTCTTGGAGGTGGTGGTGGAGGACTTCTTGGAGGGGGAGGTGGCGGACTTCTTGGAGGGGGAGGTGGCGGACTTCTTGGAGGGGGAGGTGGCGGACTTCTTGGAGGTGGTGGTGGCGGACTTCTTGGAGGTGGTGGTGGCGGACTTCTTGGAGGTGGTGGTGGCTGACTTCTTGGAGGTGGTGGTGGTGGACTTCTTGGAGGTGGTGGTGGTGGACTTCTTGGAGAGGGAGGTGGCGGATTTCTTGGAAGGGGAGGTGGCGGACTTCTTGGAGGGGGTGGTGGTGGACTTCTTGGAGGGGGAGGTGATGGACTTCTTGGAGGGGGAGGTGATGGACTTCTTGGAGGTGGTGGTGGCGGACTTTTTGGAGGGGGAGGTGGAGGACTTCTTGGAGGTGGTGGTGGAGGACTTCTTAGAGGTGGTGGTGGTGGACTTCTTGAAGGAGGTGGTGGAGGACTTATTGGTGATGGAGGTGGCGGACTTCTTCTTGGAGGTGGTGGTGGATTGTTTGGTAGTGGGGGGTGGTGGAGGATTGTTTGGCGGTGGAGGCGAATTGTTAGGTGGTGGTGGTGGTGGAGGACTGTTTGGTGGTGGGGGTGGGGGTGGATTGTTTGGTGGTGGTGGTGGTCTTAGAAAAATAGGGCGTAGTATCAATGTAATAGCACTATTAGGGATAGTACTAGTAGGTGGCTTGAGTTGCTCATGATGTTCTTCAGCAAGAGATGGAGTGATGAGAACCACCACTCCCAACAATAGCACAAGAAATTTTAAGTAACTCATCTTTGAGCTTATGAAGTTACAAAGATCATATGGAGCATCCTTTTATAGTGGTATGGGTGATTGGTAATTGTGTTTATAATTTTGCTAAATAGGGTGGTTGGTGATTGTTATAGATTAGAGTTCCATGCAACATTAATTGAGATCATAAGTTGGAGAATTTGGGCAGTTGCTTGTTTGATATATGCTAGAGAACGTTCAAAATGTAATGCATATTGGGTTTTTTATTTTATTTTAGTATAAGTGATAGTATAAACTAAATGAGAATGAGATTTCTCTCACATACATACAACTACGATGTAAGGTTTAAGTAGAAAAACTCATACTCTTATCATTGAGTTATGAACTAGTTGGCGGAAGTTTAGGCTAATTGCCCACTCTGAAAATGAATGTGAATGAGAATGAGAATGAGAAGAGATAAAATTGTCATAAAAGGACATAACAAAATAATACATAAGTTTTCTAAAAATAATAATACATAATTTTTTTAACAAAAATAGCAACGGGCATCCTTTTTTCTTCTTCTTTGGTTTGGTCCTCCCGTTCTACACACGGCAATACCACTGAGGTGATTGAGAGATAGGCATTGACAATAATACATAAACTTAAAATTAGTCTAAACTCTAAGCTTAGCTTGTAGTATTCATCCACTCTTCAAAATATAGGAGGTAGAGTTGGGGGTTTGGCATGATGAGTGGTGGTCTCACTATAGGGGTTGTGTGGTCATCAAAACCCTTTTAATTTCCACCAAAACCCTGAGATTGACTTTACTGTCCTTCAAAAAGAAGATTTCTCTATAATCCATGTGATATTTGTGTGATCAACTAACTCTTAGTCGAGTAGTATTTCTTTTCCTAATACAAAAAGATGTGTCGAATCGAAACCCTTTTCCTCTTAATTTCCCCCTCAAACAGTTTGAGGGTAAAGTTAGTCTTATGATATTATGACTGTAGAGAGCTAGAGCAAGGCAAAACATTTTGTATATCTTTTTCTGTTTCTGGGTTTTAGGTTTGAGACTTCCTTTTTGTTTGTTAGGCTCTTGGTTTCCTTGTTTTTTTTGGCAGCCGATGGATTTAGATGTTATAGACCCAAAAAGATATTGTAAGGTTTCACATTACACATTTTCTGATAGGAATTTTATGATCTAAAATTGAGGGATTGTTTTGTTTTGATATTCTGTTGGTCGTAGTTATGGTTGGAGCCCTTCTGTTGTTCTTTGGGCTTAGTTTATTTACTTATTTTGGGCTATTTATGACTTTTTGGGTCCCTTTCAATTGAATGGTCACTCTCAAATAGAACATATTATTGCTGGAAATAGTTTTGCATGAAGCTTCCGTTGAAGTTTATTTGAGGGAAAATGCTAGGTTTACCACATTTTTCATACCACAATTGTACCCCCTCTCTAATAGAGGTAGGCCCCATTGTATTGGTGGGCTCCACCTCTATTAGAGAGGTGGTACAATTGTGGTATGAAAAATGTGGTAAGCCTAGCACACGCTTGTAGGGCCCACCATATATTGTAATTCATTAATCCAAATCATCTATTTGGTTGATATTCATTCGAAGATCATCTTTGAAAAAAATCACTTGAATGAGATATCATTTGATCACTCAATTAAATTATTGAAATTTTTGTACTTTCTTGACGCACCGTGTTCATTGACTTTGTAGGACACAATTAGATGTCTAAATGGTTTCTGATTTATGTAATTTTTTGTAAAGATGATCTATAAATGAAGATTTCAAAAATAGATGGTTTGGATTGTTAGAAAAATATTCGTAAGATACCCTAAAGGTTCTACCTGAAATAAAATTATTTGAGAAATATCTCAATAGAAGGAGACTATGTGTATATTTGCATAATTAAAACACCTGATTTGCACTATCTCTGGAGATACTTGCAAGACTATTACAACTTGTTAATTCAAATTCAACAAATTTACGCTATCTGTAAAAGTCAACCACTATTATGTATGTAACCCACTATATACATAATTATAATCATAATCATATGATTCAACTTGAAACCCCATTCAACTAAGTGAATACAACTACCCATAAAATCATAAACTAGTTGATACCATAATTATTTAATATAAACAAATTTTGAATCCGTATTTTCTGTTTAGTACCGTGCCTTTATGCTGCTTGGTTCATATACTCGTAGTCTGCTAGTGATGAAAATGTTTGAGATTAAATTTATTGAAGATTTCCTGATTTTGCTAGTTCTGTTTGCCAACCGATTATAATTCTTTGTATGTTCTGAAAACTTTGTTCAACATGGTGGGTTTTGTAATTTAGAATAGAAGCTTAAATTTTATGAATAAAACCTACTCACTTGGGAAATAATTGTTTTTTAAACAAAGCGAATCTGAACATATGCTCCCTCGGATACAAAGCAAATTAAAACACCAACTTGTCCAAACATAATGATGATGACATGAGCATTGGTTACAAACACTAATAATTAGTTTATGGTCATTAATTTGGATGAATATGTGGTGTTGAGTTTGGGGTGTGGGGTTGTCTTGTAGTATGGGGGCAGCTTCTAATTATATATGGAGCTGGAGGTGAATTTAATATATATCTTCCCCTATGCTGGTAGCATTCAGGACTCTTCAGGAGGTAGAGTTGGGGGTTTGGCATGATGAGGTTTTGGTCTCACAATGGGAGGTAAAGAACTTGATGCTTTTTTTTAAATATAATATAATTCTAAATTAATCTAATTTATGGAGAAAGGGATTTGACCTTTGGTGTAGGAGGGGCGGGCTCACTACCTTAGCCAACTGGCTTACATCTGTAAAGAACTTATTGATTTGACGGGTGGCATGGCTTCTCTACTATGAGAAAATGGTTTTGCTATTCCCGACCAATCACGAAATGCCAAGTGGAAAAGTTATCACGCGTGACATAACGTGATTAGTAGGGGATAACAAAACAGTGCTATACCTGTTGCACACAAGCAAGGTCTAAAATATCGAGAACATATTGGACTCATTCAAGGTTAAAGAAAACTTAAAAAACCCTAGCCTCCCTCTCTCTCCTTACCGACAACCAACCCTTTCTAAGCTAGGTGAGGTGTCCATTGCCGCTCCTCCCCTCCGCCCATCTTCTCCATTCCTATAATCTCTCCCATATTTTTCCCTTCCTTTCATCATCTTTCCCCTTCTTTCCACTTCCCTTGGGGCTTTTGCTAGCCCTTCTCTCCCATTCCTCTTCTCCTCCCCAGATCTACTTGGATCTTAGGCTTTTAGTCTCGAATTTTTTGGATCTAGGTCTGTTTGTGTGTTTTTTTTTGCTTGGCTATTTTTGCATTGTTCTAGGTGGCTGGTGTTGTCTCCATCTCGGTGGCTGCAACAGTAGTGACGCTAGATTAGGTCTCTCTTCAGGAGAGTTGGAATATTTGGTGGCTGATGTTTTGTCTTTGTTTCAACAATCGCGGTAGCATCGACGCTGGTTGTAGTTGTTGGCATGTGGTGGTATGTCCTTTGAGGGTTTTCGTCTTCGGTTTTAGCATATATTTTGCTGTCATTTTCAATTGTTTTGTTGCTCATTTGCAGCTCGTCTCTACTCTGTGCAGCCCGAAGACCTATGTTTGGTCATAGGAGTTCCTTTGTCAGGTTCTGAGTTGAGTTGGAGTACTTTTAAGAGACCTATCTTGTTATTATTTCGTGCTCTTCAACTGTGTGCTTTCTTGGGTTTCTATCCTTTGTGTGTTTTTGCAGTTCGTAGGCGGTCAAAGGACTATGAGTTTTTCTCATAAAAGGCTTCTTTTAACAGTTGGGATGCGGTATGGTTCTCTTTATGGGTCTACTGTGTTAGTGGTTAATTGTTTTTTTGTTTTGTTCTTGTAACGGTCTTTTGTGGTTCGGGTCTTAGTCCTTGGTATGTGTGGTACTCTTTCCTACCCTGGGGTTTGTCTAAAGTGGTTTTCCTAGGAAGGTTTTAATGAGGCTATTGTATTCATGCTAGTCTTTGTATGCCATTTGGGCTTATTAATGAAATCTTCTTCTATGAAAAAAGGTCTAAAATATTGAGGGTTTCGGAAATATCAGAGGTCCAAAAATACGGAAATATCAATAAAAATATCGGGAAATTATCGATATCGAGAAAAATTGAATAAAACCCACAAAAATTGTAAGAAAATTTTGATTGAAACTTTAGACGTTGTTTATTTTGTCAATTATCTATTATTTTGATTTATTTAAGTTGATTATATAGCGAGTTGTGAAACATTGTAAGTATAGAAAATATGTAGTAATTAATGAAAAAAGATTAAACGCCCATAATCATTTATTTATAATGATTTACTATTACATTTTACGCTTTATACATTGCATGATAAGATACATGAGTGACTTAGTACCACATAGAGTTCCTATGAGGTTCAAAATTTTCATTGTCTTCATCGTCTCTATTTGTAAAGTATGTGTACTGTGAAGAGTAATCATCAAATGATAAATCCCCAAAATAGCTTTGCATGTAATTGTTAACATTCTACCTATATGGATCCAAGATTGGTTGACATTTCCCATAAGAAAAATCATTTAAAGATTGGGCCTCAGATTTTGTCCATGAGCCGCTTGATTGCATCACAAAAGGCATGGGATACGAAGGGTAGGGAAAGAGTTGGTTTTGCGTACAACAAATTCATTAGTGGTGTGGGGGATAAGGCATTGGAGGAAGAATTGAAGTGGCACGGGTTCGAATCCCCATGCATACGCTCGTACAAGCTTTTTCATTATTTTTTTTCCTATTCTATGTCCATGTTGCGTTATTATCGCTATTATCACGATATATTGACCAAATGTTGATGTTAATTGAAGGATATTATCGGTGTCGAAATTTTCTAAAAAATTTCACGATATTATCGATATTTATATGATAAGTACATAGATATGTTCCAAAATATCCCCCTCCCGAAAAACGATAATATCCTCAATATTTCGGCAATATTATCAATATTTCACTCATTGCACACAATTACGTTTCTCCTCTACTATAGCACAATCTCCAAACAATAGCACAAGCAACTTTGAGAAACTTTTGAAAGCAATTTTCCATCAAAATCTTGATATTGATTTGATTGCTCTCCACAAGAAAACATTCTATGTAACCAATATGACACGTGTGATCATATAGCCCTTAATCTATTAGTACTTTATTTCTTCTTCTGAAAACAAGAAGAGGTTTCAAATTTAAATCCCTTTTTTGTTAATTTTTTTTTTAAAAAATGATGTTGATGTAGTGCCTATTAAAGATGGCTCCGCGGCAAAGTTAGTCTAATGAGATTCTAAGATATAGATGGTTCGTTTAGTTCAAGATTTAGAAGCTTAATAATGGATATAAAATTGCATTCCCATATTTGGTAAATGCATTCTTAAGAATGCAATACCTAATTCATTGGTATGAAATTCTCAAGTAGGGAGAATTTCATACCCTTAGTGCTCCTTGGGATACTCTGTCTATTGATCCTTAAAATGGTTAGTGCTCTTTGGGAAACTCTTCGTCTATTGATCCTTAAAATGTGGTCTAGCGCAGTGGAAAAGAGCGTTAACTTGCAGGTTAGTGGTCTCATATTTGAATATAGATGACACATTAGTAGTGTGTATGTGAGAAACCCTTTTGTAGGATTTAGACTATCGCTTATATTAAAATAATAATAATAATAACTGAAGGGTGTTGTTGAAAAACTGAAAAACTTTTCATTCATAATACTGCACAAACCACACATGGGAACACGAGAAAATGGCTTTTCCAAATTCTCACTTCCCCGTGTTCTCAAACATGGGAATAAACGTCCGACATTCCCATCTCGTGGGATTAGACATGGAAATTTCATTCCCATGAAATCTGCAAACCAAACGGCCCAAAGAGTTGGAACAATGCAAAGATTTTGTTTATCTTTTGGTTGGGCCACTATGTTCCTGGGACTCCGTTTATTGTATCTGGGCCGTTAGATTTCGGCCTCCCTGTTTTGTTTGTTACCTCAGCGGAGGTTGGAGCCCTTTTCTCGTTCTTTGGGCTTAGTTATATTTCCTTGTTTTGGGCTATTTCTAAATTATTTGGGTTGTGCCTTTTCTGCGTTTGACGTCGTTTATTGTTTAATTTGTTTGATTTTTGAGTTGGACCTGGTTGGGTCCTTCTCATTTAAAGGTAGGGTCAGTCCCAAATGGAAAATATTATTGCTGGATGTTTTGTGGGCTTATGGCCTAAATTAGTTGGAGGAATAATGCCATTCAAAAGACTGAATTAACATGACCCACATTTTTCCATCCTAGAAAATTTGTTCCTTAAGCAGATCATGGCTACTGATGAAGTAAAGAAGAAAGGGATGCTTAAAATATATATATATATATATGTGTGTGTGTGTGTGTGGAGTTTGAGTTGAGGGATCTCTCAAATAAGCTTATTTGAGAGACACCTTGTAGGGCACACTCTTTGTTGTATTTCACTAATCCTAACTGTTTATTTTGTAGATATTCATTCAAAGATCATCTCTAAAAAAATAACTTGAATCCGATATCATTTGACCATTCAATTGAAATATTGAAAATTTAATACTTTCTTGAAGCACTGTGTTCATTAATTTTGTAGGACACAATTGAATGTCGAAATAGTTTCCGATTTGTCTAATTTTTTTCAAGGATGATCTATAAATGTAGGCTTAAAAAATAGATGGTTTGAATCGTTGAAAAACAATTCATAGGGGACCCTATATATACAAAGAGCTTCAATTGAGGGATCCCTTAAATAAGCTTATTTGAGAGACACCTTTGTAGCCTACTCCGCATTATATTTCACTAATCCAAACCATCTATTTTTTAGATAATCATTTAAAGATCATCTCTATAAAAAATCACTTGAATCCGATATCATTTGACAATTCAATTGAGTTATTGAAATTTTAGTATTTTCTTAAAGTACCGTGTTCATTGATTTTGAAGGACACAATTGGATGTCGAAATGGTTTCCGATTTGTATATATTGAACTACTTTTTGTTGCCATATTCTACTGCTAGATTCACACACACACACACACACATATATATATATATATATATATATATATATATGCTCTTCCATTGATGAAGCTGGCATTATATTTATAGTGAATTTCGTGATGTGGATTATTGTGTTTGCGGACCAATCATTCTCTGTATGTTGTGAAAGCTTTGTTTATCATGGTGGGTTTTGTCATTTAAAAACATAGACAGTATCAACCAACCAATTTTACAATATCATAAAACACAAGTAATAGTATTACTGCAGTTGGAAATTGATATTGCATACATATATAAAGCAAGAGACAACATGCTCAATCAGCCACAAGTGAAGAAACAACTTGCTGATACATAACCACATGACATGAAAATTCCATGCAAATAACTAGTAATTATAATGGAGTCACACTAGAAGCTGCTGCAAAATGAGTTGGTGTCCAGAACTCTTATTTTTAGCTAGCAACCGGCTCTCTCTCATTTATTCTAACTCACTAGTTGAGATGGACAGGTGGAGTTCAGGGCTTGTGGGGTGGACTGTAGTATGGGGGAGGCTTCTTCTTATATGGAGTTGGAGGTAGAGGTTTCTTCCCTTCTGGCTTTTTTGGGGGTAGAGGAGCCTTGATTGGAGGAGGGTGTTTAGGGTAACTAGGTGTGGGTGGTTTCACAACTGGAGGTAGAGTTGGTGTCTTAGGATAAGGTGGTGGAAGTGGCTTGGTCACCGGTGTAGGCGGCGGTACATGTATAATAGGAGGCTGAGTGCTTGGTGGTTTGCCATAAGGTGAGGGTGGTGGTGGCCTCACCACTCTAGGAGGCAGAGTTGGTGGTTTGGGTTTGGGCACTATTGGTGGGGATGGCTTCTTGATGGGAGCTGGGGGCTTGTAAATAGGAGGAGTTGGTGGTTTGGGTTTGGGCACTATTGGTGGTGATGGCTTCTTGATGGGAGCTGGGGGCTTGTAAATAGGAGAAGGAGTGGGTGGCTTGGGTTTTTCATTGTACTCAGCTAGAGATGAACTGATGAGAACCACCAGGCCAAACAATAGCACAAGCAACTTTGAGTAACTCATGGTGTTTTTTGTGATGGTATAAGATCTAGACGGCATCGGTTGCTATTTATAGTGCTCTGTCGGCAGCACGTGTCAAAAGATCTTGGTCATTTTGTTTCATAGTTAACAGTCAAGGATTTTCAAATTCATGAGAAGAAAAGTAAGATTCTTTTGGCCGAATAAAAGTTTAGAAGAGGGGAGGGCAGGGCATATCAAGGTCTCTTTGAGGACTTACAGAGGGGGTTTTAGTCCCCTTTTTTGGTTTTTACAGATTACCTACCAAGAGGGATTATCAGCAGTGGAACTCGAATATAGACTTTGATAGCGAAGAGAATGATCCTTATCAATTCAACCAACCCTCGTTGGCAGAGAAGTAAGATTTTCATTTGTTATGGATGATTGTTGATACAAGTGCTGTTGAGAAAGGATCTTGTAAATGGTAAATTCTCTTAATCATTTGAGCAATAAATTCTTTATAAATAATCTGACCGATTGATTATTGATTGCAATAATGGTAACTGTAAATAAAAATTGAGTTTTAGTATTTAATGGAAAATGACATGACAGTATTTTACTAGTTGAAAATACCCAAGTTGTTGTCGGTGTAGATAAAACAAATGATTCACTCTTCCAAGATGTGGAGATTTGAATTTGTGTACGTCTAGCATTAATCTTTTCAAAAGATTTTGGACTTTTGTGTGAATTTAAGTTAATTTGAGTTTACATTATGCGTTCCATGGTCTATATAATTTAGACGGGTTTAATTTTCCACGTTGAATGACTTTTGTATGTGGACTTTTCCCCCCCATCCTTCTTTTTTATTGTCCTCTCCTCCGTTGTCGTTAGTTTTGTCGCTTATCATCCTTGTGGTGTGATAATAATTGGAAACGAGTGTTTCTATTATGGTCTCCCAAGCTATGTCATTAAAATCTAACTTAGTTTGTGTTGGTATCAGAACTCTTCCAATGGGACTACTGAGGGAACTGAGGCCAAGCCATTGATATGTCAGCTTAGCGTTAATGAAGAAATAAATATATTTGCTAACCATCGATGCCTCCGTTCAGCTTCAGCTTACTTTATTTTGTTAGGTCTTACAACTTTTTTATTTTACTTTTAAATATAAGCGATAGTTTAAGTGGAGGGAGGTTTCTCACAAACTACCGAGGTAATATGGGACTAGTGTGCAAGTAAATGTCATTCTTCACTCGGCTAGACTCTGTTAACATTATGCCAACAGTAAAAAAAGAAGATGTATCACTGAATCACTATAGGTACGGTATTATTTCACTTTCATCTTTTACTATCTACTTTCACCGTACTATATCACTATCAGAACAATGCAAAAATTTTGGAATCAATTAGGGAACGAAGGTGTGAATGTTATATCTCCGTTCCCTTTTGTAATAAAATATGTATAGAGTTGAGCAATGGTCACAAAATTCGTTGCTTTCCAAAAGATTGCTATTTCATTTCTGGTTAAATAGTCGTGTAGTGGAAAAAAGCGAATCTTCAGCAGCCGCGTTTCTTGATTTCCCTCATGGATTTGGTGAATTTGATGGCTGCTTGCGGACCAATTAGCCGAAGGACATGTGCTCTCCATCTAGCCCCGTCATAGTCTGTATAGCTCTACCTAAAAGGTAAAAATCAGAGAAAGGAGAGATCGGACTTGCGACCAAATACATAGTGAGACACATTACAAGATAGAAGTTTTGCAATAACTCTTGAAAGATCTCGAGCCCCTCGATCTGAATTGGTTTTGCATTGGATGCTCATATTTTATATTATATATATGTATATAATAACGTAATATATTTACTAATCTTGTTTTTACAGAAAATTGTTAAGGATTATTGCAAAACGAAAGTGTATTTGTTTATTTGTTTGGGTTATTCCCACAATGTGCATCCCACCGCCGCGTATTTTGCTTTCTCTATAGTCGTTAGGTCCATTCACGTCGATATTATATTCAATCTAATTTTCGCTTTCAATTACCAGTGTCCACTCGGTTTTCTTGACGTTTTGATGTCATGTATTCGACCCGAATATCGGATATCATCTGTCTCTTCCGTTGATGAAGGGATAAATGCCATCGAATCAGAAGATCTTACTTTTTCTAAGGGGGCTTTTCTCTTGTCTCCTCCCAATCTTCGTCGACTAAGATCTTACGTTTCTTTTTCTTCTTATATATTTCTACCTTCTTAATCACTATACGAAGGATTATCTTTTGGGTGCTGTTTGAAAATTCAATCTAATTATGGCTTTCAATTACTAATTATGACGTTTTGATGTTATGTGTTGATTGATTTTCAAACTAATTATGGTTTCTGGTGGAAGTCAAAATTAGAGAAAGCAACCCTTACGGCCTAGAAAAAGAAAAAGGTTAGACGGCACTAACTTCCTGGTTAAGGATAAGAATTTGAACTGGCAAATCAGTGAACCGGAACCGAATCTGTATGAACTGGCTATATTTATATCTAGTTTTTAATTTATTTTTACAGATGTCTTGTTCTCATTGTTGATTCTATACAATTAGTACATAAGTAATTTAACAAAAAAAGCAATTTTCTAAAACGGTCCTCCTTTTTTCTCCTTCTATGGTTTGGTCCTCTATTCACGGCAATACTTTGGCCACTGAGGTGATTGAGCATAGCCATTGACAATAATACAATTTAAAGTCTTAAACTCTATACTTAGCTTGGGTTAAGTATTCCATTAGTGGCAGAATGTTAAGGCTAAATATACGCTATCTTAAAAAGTCAACCACAATTATATATGTATAGCACTATAAATATACAATACAAATTTATAAATAAACCCAATCCTAGACATGTATTTATAGAAAAACCCAAGCACTATTTAAATATAGAAACACACCCAAAATCAATCCCAAAGTCAACTTTTTGGGTGTGTTTATAAATGAATTTTGAGTGTGTGTAATGATGGGTTTTGGTTGTGTTTATATGTTTAAATAGTGCTTGAGTTTTTTTATAATTTAAACTCCCATTTTGGGTGTTTTAGTGAAACTCCCAATATACAATCGTAAGGGTAATGCTATACTAGATCCCGAGCCTTTACATTTAGAGTCCACGCATTTATCCGTATTTGGCTTCATCTTGACCATTACAATGATCCAACGACTTAAAATATGACAGATCATTACATCATAAAGTTTTATTTTTATTTTTATTTTATTTTTCTAACTGACGTTACTGTTACCATTTCCTCAAAGCCTTCCCCCCCTGCTTGCTCTCTTCCCTCTCTAATCTCTCTCAATTTTTGCTTCTCATGAATATCTACTACTCAGCATCCTAAATTTAATTTCCTATTTTTAATACAATCTCAATCGATTCCCTATAAACATATGCTGAACCATCTCTCCTCTTCTGCCTCCATGTCCGAGTCACCACGAACCCGAGCTCTAAATTGGGAGTTCGGCTAAAAAAAAAAAAAAAAAAAAAAAAAAAATAATTTCATAACAGACACGTGGTATAAAATGCAGAGATACCACATCATGTGATATAAAAATGTGGTAAGACTAATATTATTCTAACCGTAATCATATGATTCAAACTTGAAACCCCATTCAACTAAATGAAGACAACTACCCAAAAAATCATAAACTAGTTGATATAAAAATTATTTACTATAAACAAATTTTGAATCTGTATTTTCTGTTAAGTATAGATGTAGGACTAGGGTTAAGTATTAAGTTGGATGATTTTTTTGCCTTTTTACTATAATTATTCTCTCCGCTGCTAAGGGATGGGTTAAGGCCTCCCTTGCTGCTGTGATTAAGGTGGATAAGGTGCATTCTTTTATCTCTTGGAAACTTCCTCGCCCTGATCAGTTTAATCTTAATGTTGATGGGTAGGTGCCTCCTCTGGATGTATTGGGGCTGGGGATGTGATTCGTGATGCTTCTGGTGGCGGATTGGTGGGTTTTCAGTGAACCTTGCCCAGGGACAAGTAGATTTGATGGAGGAAGGGTGAGTTGGAGACTTGATGAATAGTTCATAACGAACGAGAGGCTACAAACCCAGGGAGGCTAGGGTTAATTTAAATTTAATATAATATAATTGTTTTGATCTTCAGAATTATTGCTATGAGAAACAAATAAAAATAAGACAATATTCATTAATTGACATGACATGACTACATCAGCCAGCACATAAGGTAGTCGACTAATGTGGTCAATTTTGTGTGTCTAAATAGCATCACTGGAATTTATTGGTACGACAATGACATTGAGATAGTTAATGTAATTTTTCAATTTTTACAATAATTTTAATGAAATTGAATGAATGATTGTAAGAAAACTGAATTAGCTAGTTATACAATGTTTCTTGTCAGTATATGTTAATTGTCCATATGTCCCAAATAATTCAATGGCATAGTTTGAAAAATTCAATCTAATTCTGGCTTTCAATTGCCAGTGTCCACTCGTTTTTTCCTGACGTTTTGATGCCAATGCCAGTACCATGTACTCCTGTTTGGCTTTCAATCGTTTGAGCTTATGGTAGTTTCTTGTGGAAATCAAGCTAAATACTCCTGTTTGATTTTCTAACTTAGAGAAAGCAACCCTTACTGCCTAGAAAAAGAAAAAAGTTAGCCGGGCCTAACTTCTGGTTAAGGATGTGACTTTTAACAGGTAAATCAGTGAACTGCGTTGGTTCGAGCCAAATAAACCAAAATAATAATAATAATATAATTGTAACAAAAAATTGAACCAAGTATGTATGAACTGGTTCAATTCACGACTTTAAGCTTCTCAAATTCGAACCAGAGATCGGCTATATTTTTATTTAGTTTTTAATTGATTTTTACAAGAGTCTTGTTCTCATTCATGGATTCTACGCCATTAGTCCATAACTGGTTGCATAGGATCTCATATAAGTAACTTTTCCTCTAAATATTGCCTCCCAAGCTCAAAAGCTTGCGAACTGCTGAAAGGGAGCCAAACCGAACCTACCATTTTTGGTCCGGTTGGATTTGTTATCAGCGTGTATTTCCAAAGAACTGATC